TGCAATACCCTCATAGGCCAGCCTGCCCTGCAGAGAGAAGCCAAACCACTGTAATGTCTCCTCTTGCTCTTCGTCTATTTAATCCTTTCGACCTGCAAACTGTTTTGCATTAAAGTGAAGCATTGAACAGAATGTAATTCCTTAGTCTTAAAAACAAAAACTGTATTGCGTGACTCACTCTGTGGTCTTGCTGAGGCATACAGAAATTATTTTACTAAACTAAAAAGGCTGTTGAGTTCCCAAGAAAACCCCTGTAAATGCTATATTTAGTTTGTATTCATATGCAGGTCCTCTCTTAACACTGCACAGGCTCACACACTGGCATTTAACTGTGATGTTCAAGAACAGATTACTGCAAAAATGTTGATCTATTTTGAGCATTTACGAGACTATCACTTTCAGAAGTGGCTACATTTAGCCTTCTCAGGATGATGTGGTTCAGTGTTCACATGTGCTGCCTTGCAAGACACTTGATCAGAGCACAGAACCAGAGAAATAATGTAAGGTGATCTGTCAGATTCATCTGTATATCTGCTAAGAGCATGTGTACAGTACACAATGTATAGTCTGCTGGCTATTCTTGCAAGATCATGTATCAGTGAATAGTCAGCTAGCAATCCTTGCGAGATCATGTGCACAGTAAACAGTGTATAGTCTGCTGGCAATCCTTGCAAGATCATGTATCAGTGAATAGTCAGCTAGCAATCCTTGCAAGATCATGTATCAGTGAATAGTCAGCTAGCAATCCTTGCGAGTCATATGCACAGTAAACAGTGTGTAGTCTGCTGGCAAACCTTGCGAGATCATGTGCACAGTATACAGTGTGTAGTCTGCTGGCAATCCTTGCGAGATCATGTGCACAGTAAACAGTGTGTAGTCTGCTGGCAATCCTTGCGAGACCATGTGCACAGTATACAGTGTGTAGTCTGCTGGCAATCCTTGCGAGACCATGTGCACAGTATACAGTGTGTAGTCTACTGGCAATCCTTGCGAGACCATGTGCACAGTATACAGTGTTTGTCGTTTTCTGGCAATCCTTGCGAGATCATGTGCACAGTATACAGTGTGTAGTCTGCTGGCAATCCTTGCGAGATCATGTGCACAGTAAACAGTGTGTAGTCTGCTGGCAATCCTTGCAAGATCATGTATCAGTGAATAGTCAGCTAGCAATCCTTGCGAGATCATGTGCACAGTATACAGTGTGTAGTCTGCTGGCAATCCTTGGGAGAACATGTGCACAGTATACAGTGTGTAGTCTGCTGGCAATCCTTGCGAGATCATGTGCACAGTATACAGTGTGTAGTCTGCTGGCAATCCTTGTGAGATGATGTGCACAGTATACAGTGTGTAGTTTGCTGGCAATCCTTGCGAGACCATTTGCACAGTATACAGTGTGTAGTCTGCTGGCAATCCTTGCGAGATCATGTGCACAGTATACAGTGTGTAGTCTGCTGGCAATCCTTGCGAGATCATGTTCACAGTATACTGTGTGTAGTCTGCTGGCAATCCTTGCGAGACCATTTGCACAGTATACAATGTGTAGTCTGCTGGCAATCCTTGCGAGACTATGTGCACAGTATACAGTGTGTAGTCTGCTGGCAATCCTTGTGAGATCATGTGCACAGTATACAGTGTGAGTTTACTTATAAATATGACATTTTTGTCCGTGGGAATAAAGGACACAATGAAAGATGTGTTTATGCAGACATATGACAGTTCTTGTCTGTGGAAGTGTAAGGACTCAATGGAATATGTTTTAAGTTGAATGTAAACACACAATGAAGTTGTGTTTACTTACACTTCTTGTCAGTGAGAATAAAAGCATGCAATTCCATCATAAATAAAAAAAATTTAAAAAAAAAGATGTCTGTTTGCACTGAATATTTTTTTTAGATAATGTTATCTGCAAATGTGATCGATTGCAGTTATGATTAAATACAGAATTTAAATACGCTGAACCAATTGTGTTGTGTGATTTCTTTCATAGATGCTTATCACTGAAAAGAGTTGTGTGATTTCATGTCTGCATTTTGGTAGGTCTACCTGTCTGTCTTAGTGGATTTTGTGTTTGTATGTTAGTAGACCCACCTCATGTCTGCATGTTGGTAGGTCCACTTGTCTGTCTTGGTGGATTTTGTATGTTTGTATGTCAGTAGACCCACCTCATGTGTCCATACTGGTAGGTCCACCTCTCTTGTCTTGGTGGATCCTGTGTTTTTATGTTAGTAAACCCACCTCATATCTGTATGCTGGTAGGCATAGGTCCACCTGTCTGTCTTTGTGGATTTTGTGTGTTAATAGATGCACCTCATGTCTGCATGTTGGTATGTCCACCTGTCTGTCTTGGTGGCTCCTGTGTGTTTTTGTGTTTGTAGACCCACCTTATGTCTGCACACTGGTAGGTCCACCTGTCAACCTTTGTTGATCCTGTGTGTTTGTATGTTAGCAGACCCATCTTATATCTGGAGGTTTCTGTCTTAGCCTCTTTCAAAACATTCTGATGAATAATTTTGGACGCCCAAGGAACATTGAATGATTGTTGTGCAAAACCAGACCCATGAGACGAGACAAGCATAGTAGTTAGATGCTCAACTGCTGGCCCAGAGGTCCAGGATTCAGATCCACATAGACTGCTTTTTTCAAAACTGACCATGGCTCCTAGTCTAAACTGAATACCATGAAATGATCTAGGAAGTAAAGGCAGCCAGCATGATGCTGACCACATAACACAAGTGCTGATTGAACTATAAAAATATAGGTCTTTCACTATATGCCCAATGCACAAAAGACATGAAAAGGGTCCTGTACGTCTCTGAGACCTATGGATTTCATTTACCAGCTGTTACAATTGCTACCATGCCGCATGCAAGAAATTGTTCTGACCAATAATAGAACCTTTAAAGGTACACTGGGTATATGGTGCTAGCCCCTTGCTCATGTGCAATTAGTCCACTAGCAGATGCTCGTCAGGTGCTATCTTCTAACTCTCTCTGTCTCTCTTTTTTGTGTGTGCTTTTGAAAGTGACGTGAATAGGATCAAGTGATTTCACAGCCACAATATTAAAGTACCAGAAGAACAAAACATTACAGAGTATTTTTGTATTTTTAATTACAAACGAAAACATGTTTAACATAAAAGTATATACATCAAAACAATCAATCACATCTATGATATTAAATCCACATAAACAACCTGAACTCTGATAAACATTTTTTAAGCAAATGTTTTATGAAAATTCTTCTATATATTTTGCAAAGAAATTGACAAGATATACACAAATATTTCAAGCAAGTAAATACACATTCTCTGCTGCAAGATAAGGTGGAATATACACAATAAAAAAGGAGAAGCCCAAGTTTGTAAACTGGATGTTACATATTCAAACACATGATTGTCTATCACACCAAGAACAAAATTATTTGCTTTAAATGTGGGAATGTTGCAATGTTTACTGATTGTGTCTGATAAATAATTATCATGTAGAGGTTCAGTGAGGGCTGACTGGCTGACTGAGGCTCTCATGAGGGAGACCTGGTGTCCTAACCTGCACAGTCTGTGGCTACAGCACTAGCCATGTGGCCCTAAATCCTCAGGCTCAAAGACTCCACACCGTTTTACCCTGCATTAGTGGTCAATACAGACAGTAATGGCAGTTTGTTTGTTTCAGAAGTTCAGTGTATTATTTACAATATATTATAAGGTGATGGATCTGTTTCATGTCATATGCACATCAGGCAAAGGATGTTAGAACAGTTTTGTTTTTATAGATCAAATGGGTGTTATGGTCAACAGCACTTTAGCCATCTTGACTTCCCAGATCACTTCCGTGCAGAACATCTGCTAATTATTAACGTGAAGTAAAATTGGAAAATAAGAAAATTGCATAATATGGGCAAAAGTGTTTAGATGATCGTTGCTCATAATAGGTCAGTGCAGTGAGATCATTAAATGAATAGTACAGAATTATATGACAAAACAAAATACATTTTCTTTTAAAGTTTAATAAAGAATGATAAGAAACAATGTATATATTAGTAACAGAAAGCCCAGACTAACAACAACAGAGTGAAAAGTGACATTAATGAGCATCTTGTATTTAAGGTTATCATTTACAACAATGTGGTCCCATATCCTTATGCTAGCAGCTTATTATCTTGTTCTTCTTCTTCAGCATTCCGAACCCTTGAAGTTCATTACTGCAGATATCACCCGCCTCCATTCATCTCTCTGGTTGGCCTTCTCTTTCCATTTGGTGACACTAAGTGTTTGCAGGTCTGTCTGAACATTATCTCTCTATCGTCTTCTTGGTCTGCCTCGTGGTCTACGACCATTCATGTCCCTTGTGTATACAGTTTTTATTTCTTTGTCATCTAACATTCTTTCAATATGCCCCAACCATTTCAGTCTATTAGCTCTCATGATGCCAGTGATCAGTGGTGATTTAACATATTATGAATTTTGTTGTTGCTTCTCACTCTCTATTTAACAATGTTTGCATCTTTGATGGGTCCAAAGACTGGCCGTAAGACTCTGTTTTCAAAAACCTGTAATAAGGTTTCATCTCTTTTAGTTGTGCTCCAAGTTTCAGAATCATATAAAACGACTTGTCTAGCAAACAAACAAAAAAACATTCTGGCATGCATACACATTCTCTCTCCTTCTCTCTCAGTATGGCCTCCAGTCTAGTATATCGGTATCTCTGGAGTGCAAGAGCACATTTGCAAAGACAACATATTTTCATATATTTCTTTTCACTACCTGAAGATTCTGTGCATTTTTGTTTAAAAGCAGTTTTCAAACTGAGCTAAGCAGTCAACTCTGCTATACTTTCATAATCTGTGATATTTAGAACCGAAAGCAAACCTTAAACATGTCTGTCTAAGAAAGCAAAAAATGGAGAAAATTCTGTATTATTAAATAAAATGTATAATGAAATCTTAGAAACGACTAAATCCTCAACTGTTATTTATTTTTGTTTCAATATTGCTGAATATGGGAATCAGTCTGTGTGTTGTTTTCCTCGAACTGCCTTGGTTCGAGCCTGAAGACCTGATCTGCCCAAAAGTTGCCAGAACCAGTAGAGCCCTAGAGCACAGAATGCACACACAACAATCCTGTATTCCCATTGGTTTTCATAGGCAGTACCACATATCATGTACCATTCGGCTAAGTCTTTCGGGGGCTTCGACAAGCACTTGAAATCAAAGTAATCCTCATAGTAGCTGTCTCTGCACAAATACATGTTCTTGCTCAGCACCTGAGGGTTAATAGAAAATTTTTTGGTAACCACCTGCACAAATATCCAAATATCTGAACTAATTACAATGATTATAAAAATTCATCAGATCAGCAGTGTGGAAAATAATTGCATTTTGCAAGCAAGGTAAACATTGAAAGCCAACAAAACTGGCACAAGGCAGTGAACATATTATAAACAGGCTAGAGCAAGTAATTAGTCTCTGCCTTAGAACAGGGCTCGCTGACTGAATTACAACAGACATTGATGTTCTTATTAGTGACAACACTGCAGATATAGATAATCTATTTCAAGCAAGGTTTGAGGTTTTGAACAATGGATAAACATCATGGCACACGGGTAGTAACCCATAAGTGCTCCGTTCTTCTTCTAACTCAAGTCTGAGTCCAAAGAAACTCAGCACATTGCACAGGCTCTGCAGCACGGGCGAGGATCCTGAAATACTCTGGGTAGATTTTCAACTCCACATTTTGCCTGGACAACGCCGTTAGGCTACTCTTTACGATTTCCAACTGCCAAGGGATTTTTTCATGCGCAAAAAATGCACACGGGCGTCCGATCTCACTATCCAGAGACAAAGGGGAATTACTAGAAGTCCAAGTCCACATGAAAAGATCCCAGCCCTTATTGGGTATTGAACCAGAAACTCTAGCACTCGAGGCGGACACCATGCCTTGAGACCATGCAAATGAAAGAAGAAGAAGAAGAACAGGCAAGGAAAGAACAATAAACGCAAAGTACTACCTTGATGGACTTGAATTTAAAAAAACTGAATAAGAAAATGAAAAAAAAAAGGTATTTAGGATTTAAAATATATTAAAAACAAATCCAAAAAAGGTAGCAAGAAGAAGAAAAAAGGACAGAAAAGAAGTGTATAACATCCCTAACTCAAATGCTGAAAACATTCAAAATGAAACAATCAGAAACAGAAAACACATACCTGCCCAAAAGGAGTTTTCACATCAACTGGAGCATTACAATTTCCAATAGGCTGATGGTAACCAATGGAAACAATCTCTTGTGGCTTGGCCCAGAATACCAGGAACACATAAAAGGAATAATGCAAGATTACTGCCAAAACTATTGGACTGAAGCAGTCTGAAACACAAAAATAAATTTTACATTAAAAAAAAAAAAAATTGTTCCATATAAACACACTTTTATGTATTCTAGTGTGGAAAAAAAAAGTTTCTATTCCACTTTTTTTAAACTCCATCTCAGAAGCTGCAAGATCTGGTAGGGAATTTCTTATGATTACTCTGAAATGTCCTATATTATGTTAAGGTGGAGTGGTGGTGGTGCAGTGTTAGGATAAGGGTTAGTTTCCTCTTCTTTCGTTGGCCTAAAATAGATTATCTGTATCTGCAATGTTATCTCTAGTATGAAGTTCACTGTCTTGTGGAATTCACCTTGTGACTTGTAAAAGTTTGGATTGAGCTGGTGGACCATTCTGAAGTGGCGGCATCGAAGGGCCCTGAAAAGGACCAATAGCCTCTATGTATGTATAATAGTGAATTAGGGTTAGCGTTAGATACAGAGATGCTGACAGGTTGCGGAAATTCATGGTGAAGGCAGTCCTGAAGTAAGAACACTGCTTTTAAACAGGGCACAGTGGTGGCGATGAAAGGAACAAACACTGGACATGATGACACAATAAATGATGAAAATGCTAAAAACAACCAACAGATGACATCGTCAGAATATAGGAGTTTTAGTGTTAGTGTTAAATGAACACCGACTAACACCAACCCCATACTATAAGACATTCGCGGGAACTCTCTAGGCACTCCCTGTGAAATCTTGGAGCTCCAAGATGGGGTGAAAAGAACCAAACAGATTTATAGTTATGTCTCCTGATGTTTTAGTTTTGACTCTATAAGTCCCAAAGGTATGCTGTAGATTGTAACAGCAGATTTCTGATGGCTTGACAAAAACTGTAATGGATTTGATGAGCATGCTTTCAAAATACTAATCAGTATGTTATTTACACAGTGGCTTCCCCTGCATAACGCGATGCAGGTCAGCAGCAAATGGATGTTGCTTAACGCAGTAAAGCCTAGCATATAATATCACAACATCTAATTTGAGAATGGAGGTGGAGGCAGTCACTGCTGCCTTTCGCTGGCTTAAGAATCAGTTGTACACTCATGTCCTAATTGTAACTGACTCACAGAGCATGCTGAGAAAGCTGGAAACAGGCATGCTCCGTGCAGAGTGGCAAGCACTGCTTCAGAGGTCCCGGGTAGTTAGTTTATTTTGGATACTTATTTTCTAGGTCATGCCACTATGTTGGAAAATGAGCAGGCAGATAGACTGGCCAGTTCTGCACCACTTGGTGATGAAATAATGTATGACAAGCAAGATGTTAGGGCCTTTGGGAGCAACAACAAGCTATACTGTTAAAAAAAAAGAAACGCATAGTTATCTGATCGCGCGTTTTTATGGGTTTATAAATGAAATACTGTACTCACGTATGTGAAAAGCAGACTCAAATGTTGTTTACAGTGTCAAGTGGACATGAATTGTGTGGATTTTTGTAATCGTTAAAATGCAGTGGTCAAATGTGTTTAAGACCATATTTGTAAGCATAGCTCACGGATGTGCGCACAAGAAAGCAGAACTATTATCACTAATTTGCAGTGAACACTATTCACATTCTATGCAATTGAAACCCTATAACGCTTACATACTGGACACTGCAGACTCAATAAACACTCATATAAATTAGGTGTGAGCCAAACAGCTCTCTGCCAGTGTTTTCATGCTGAACAGACTCCAGAACATATCCTGCAAGACTGTCCTCTCTTGGCGGAGCTGCTGAGCAACATATGGCAACACCTAGTAGAACTGATAACTAAGCCTTGGGGAAACCTAAGAGACCTTGAAAAGACATCCCAGTTTATGGCTCACAGTGGATTATGCGCATGACCAGAGATTGCTGAAGAAGAAGAAGAAACCCTATAAAAGGATAACGCTACACAAAAACGATCAGTTCATTTTAAGCAGTCGTGAATGGCGCCTCTATCGATAAATTTAAGGAATGTTGCTATTGGCCGATTGCAGACAGGAGGAAGTCAAAGTCAGGTTGCCAGGCATCTAAACCTGCATCAGAGTACCATCAGTCGACTTTGGCACCTGTTCCAAGCCACTGGTTCAGTTGAAGACCGACATCGCAGAGGACAACCCAGAGTGACAACAGCAGCTGAGAATCCCTTTATTCGGCTTCGAAAGCTTAGAGACAGGTTTACAATAGCTTCCTTAATTGCACAGGCATTGCCTCCAGGACGTCATGTGCCTGATCAAACTATTCGGAACAAACTGTATGATGTTGGACTTTGGGTTCGCTGACCACATCGAGGACCTGACATTACACGTCGCCACTGCCAACCAACATCGTCCCTGGGCAGTGACAATCAATGGAGACATGTCTGGTTTAGTGACAAATCTTTCTTTTTGTTGCAGCTTCATGATAGATGGTGTAGTGTCTAGCATAGACAAAATGAAGGTTAAGCCCTAAATTGTGTTGATGAAGCTCTGCTGCACGGTTGTGGAGGTGTAATGGTGTGGGGGATGATCAGTTACAACAGAAGAAGTCAACTGGTGCACATTGAAGCAAGCTTAAATGCGCAACGATATGTCCATGAAATTCTTCGACCACAAGTCCTTCCATTTTGGGATGTCAACAGATATCTTTTTCAACAGGACAATGCCAGACCCCATTCTGCATAGTTGACAATGCAGTTCTTGGCTGCCAATAACATGCAAACCCTTTCCTGGCCATCCCTGTCTGCAGACATGAGTCTGATTGAGCACCTGTGTCACCGAAACGTTGCTCCAGCCAATGGTCAATATCTGTTCCAGTCACTCCAGAAAGAGTGGTCAGCCATCCCACAGGCCCACATCAGACCGCATCCATGCCCAGGAGATGTCAGTCACTGATCTATGCAAGAGGAGGGCACACACCAGACTAACGGGAAAGGCCTACGCTTAAAAACTTTCATGAACAAGATGCAGAAAAAGGTGTCAATTGATTTGTGAAACCCTAGGGTATTCTTGTGTGAAATCTGAGTAATTTCACTTACTGCATTACAAAGATGCAGAATCTCAAAATTGTGAGTATGTTTGTTCCTCTCAGTAACTATGTGTATTTTTTAAAACAGTATAGATGTTGTTAGGGCCTTGGGAGCAAGTGAACAGTGCAGAGCTACAAACAGATCATTATAATCTGAGGAGAATGGAGCTGCAAGGAGTTTCCAGGGGATCTGGGTGACGCTCAACACTCAAGGTAAATGTAACACCTATATACAATCGGACAGTTATTGGTGCCTTTGGAACTGGAACTCTTTGCTTGCTGCTGAAGATAGGGACTGAGTGCTTATGGGAGTGTCCCAAGTACTGTGATGTCGATTCTTAATTCAACATTATGGATGCAGGTGTGAAGAGCCATAAGCAGGCTGACAGACTGACTGCTGCGGTTCCTCTTGGCAGCAAGCTACTTAAAAAATGTCAAGGATCTCTGGGATCAAGTGAAGAGGACAGCTGAGAAGAGTATCATTATTTCAACCAAGTGAGTCTATCCCAGCAGGGTGTGAGCAGATGGTCTGGTTCACACTCAGCATGCAGGGAAGAAGACAGGTAGGCTTTCCAGAAAGTTGTTACTGGCACTATCAACATGTGAGCCCTTCACTGACTTTTGCAGAAGAAGACATACAGCACTTATTCTGTATGTCCCAACAACAGCGTTAGCAATTTATGATTGATTCACGTACTCATTTGCCAAATTAATTCATCAGTATTAGTTAATTATGGAAAATATGAAACATTGTGTGCAAGTATAATGTAACAGAAGTATTTATCCACCATATACTTATGTTGTTTATCAAACTTACCACTTCTCAAAAGTCTTGCAGAGTCAAACGGAATTCTGTCAGCACTCCAAACAATCACAGCATACAAAGTCAGGAACAGAACCACACTGACTTCTGAGTGGATGCCAAGGGCATCATGCAGAGGATGATAAACTGGTGCAAACTGTAGCACTCCTAGTGGCATGGAGAACAGTCCTGTGAGGATCACGATGGGCAGCTCACAGAAAAACCTACAATTTGAACATTTTGCAAACCATTACAATATAGTAAAAAGTAAAGTAAGTAAAAAACCCTTTTTGAGGTGGGTAATGTGGTCAGCATTACGCTGGCCATCTTTACTTCTCCAGGACATACATCCTGGTACCCATTTTAGGCTGGGTCGACCTGCGACGCCCCATACCATGATAAAAATTCACACAGCCAGCAGTGGGTTTCGATCGCGGTACGTTGGAATCGTGAGTCAGACTCGCAACGCCTAAGCCACGGAAGCCACATTACAATAAAGTAGCTACAACAAAAGGAACTGCAATTACTTAAGGAAAAATGTTGTTGACAACAGCTGTCATAGGAAAGTATAGCAGAAATTCATGAAACATCCATGAGATAGGAGAGTGACTTCTGTCAATCACATAGATGTTTTATTATTAAATACCATTCTGTGCAGGGGGAAGGTCAAGCATATTCTGACTAGGACTCGTACCAACTAGGACTATGTAAAGTAATGATTTAACACTGACATATAAACTATCAACTAGAACAATGATTGTTAAAGTTTCAGGTAGGACTCTGACATTTAAAGTAAAAACCAGCGCACTGACATTTAGAGTAAAAAACAGCACACTGACATAGAAAGTAAAAAACAGCACACTGACATTTAAAGTAACAAGCAGGACACTGACATTTAAAGTAACAAGCAGGACACTGACATTTAAAGTGACAAGTAGCACATTGACATTTAAAGTGACAAGCAGGACACTGACATTTAAAGTAACAAGCAGGACACTGACATTTAAAGTAAAAATCAGGACACTGACATTTAAAGTAACAAGCAGGACACTGACATTTAAAGTAAAAATCAGGACACTGACATTTAAAGTAACAAGCAGGACACTGACATTTAAAGTAAAAAACAGCACACTGACATTTAAAGTAACAAGCAGGACACTGACATTTAAAGTAACAAGCAGGACACTGACATTTAAAGTAAAAATCAGCACACTGACACTTGGAGTAAAAAACAGCACACTGACATTAAAAGTAAAAACTAGCACACTGACATTTAGAGTAAAAAATAGCACACTGACATTTAAAGTAACAAGCAGGACACTGACATTTAAAGTAAAAATCAGCACACTGACACTTGGAGTAAAAAACAGCACACTGACATTTAAAGTAACAAGCAGGACACTGACATTTAAAGTAAAAATCAGCACACTGACATTAAAAGTAAAAAACAGCACACTGACGACAATAATGAGCAGGACACTAACATTTAAAGTAGCAACTAGGACACAGACATTTAAATTAAGAACTAGTTGTGTCGACCTCAGAGACAAGGTCACCTTTAAATCCAGGTTAACATCTAACTGCTACACCACTGCAGCTCCCTATATACATCTAAGTCTAGCACTATATGACCATACAACAAATGCATACAAAGTACTTTTGACAAAAAAAGAGCAATGACTATCTGGAATTAAGAGGATATATACTGAATAAATAAACTGGTTGATACACTATATATAATACAGCACTGATTCTTTGCTAGCTAATTTGAAATTAGCAAAAAAATATGCAAGAAACAGTAAGGGACCCTTTCCATGCCTGCAACACACAGGGCCCAAGGTGCTAGCCCTGTAATAGTACATGCAATCAAGACAATATCAAGCTGTCAGCGTTCACTCCTGGACATTTCCTGATACCTATTTTGAGCTGGCTTAATCAGCAAGCCCAGTCAATGTTTCAAAAGCCACATCAAAACAACCCAACTCATAAACATACAGTTACTGTTCTGTACACTTGCTAAATATTTCACATGTACATTGGCAACACAGCTCATACATATACACTTACTGTCTTAAAAAAAAGTTCTTTTAAAAACATTCTGGTGAGGGAGAACACACTGCTGGGCCAAAAGCTGTAGATATCACAGCCAATTTGTAAATCACAAGACAATATTCCTATTGCCCTTCTCATGGTGAGTGCAGAAAAAAATTACAACAAAATCAATATTACTACCAGCGTTTACTGTTTTTGTAGTGTAGGCATAGGGCTCTTTGAGCATCAGAATTCAGGGCTGCATGACTACTGCAGTCAGCACAGACTGTGCAGGTTAGGATTTTATTTTTGCTCCTGACAGGAAAACTCATGGCCTTAATGAGTTTTCAAACTTGGTCACATAGGAGTCCAATGTTCTTAACTGTTCAGCCAGCTGCTCCTCTGTTACTGTTTGCCTGCTAAATTGTTCAGACACACTTTAGCAACACAGCCCGTAAACACTGTTACTGTTCTTTACAAACTTACCCTGGGCTTTGATATTTGAGTCCAGGGCGGCAAAGCAAAGTTCTCAACCCAAAGAAGAGAATTGTGAAAGAAGATGCAAAAGAAGCATGGAAGTAGTATGAAGTCCAAGGCACCCAGTAGCTGCGATCAAAAATGTTTGGATCATCATCATGCCAGGTCCACCACAACAGCTTGACACCCATGATGTCAAAGGGAATATCTAACAGCACAACAGTTAAGCCAACTGGAAGAAACAAATAGAAAATGGTAAATCCCACAGTTACATATAATACAGTTTACTTGAAGGTTGTCTTTAAATGTAATTTCAATATAAGAATCATGTTAATTTGAAGTCCACTTCTCAGAGTGGAATATGAAGCATGCTGTAAAAGGCATCTGTGGCTTAGGCATTGCGAACATGATGTGTAATGTCAGGGTGCCAGGTTCGATTCTAGCTGTGGATGGTTTGTCTTGAGAAAGGCATCAAAAACTGACCAGTGTTATACTGTGCTACAGGAAGGAATGGGAACCAGCCCACAGTGATGGTGGGTGTAACTAGCAAGATCCACTCATGCCTAGACCAGTAGAGACGATATAAGGCATGGGAACCAGCTCACAGAGATGGTGGGTGTAACTAGCAAGATCCATTCATGCCAAGACCAGTAGAGACCATATAAGGATTGGGAACCAGCTCACAGAGATGGTGGGTGTAACTAGCAAGATCCATTCATGCCAAGACCAGTAGAGACCATATAAGGCATGGGAACCAGCTCACAGAGATGGTGGGTGTAACTAGCAAGATCCATTCATGCCAAGACCAGTAGAGACCATATAAGGCATGGGAACCAGCTCACAGTGATGGTGGGTGTAACTAGCAAGATCCATTCATGCCAAGACCAGTAGAGACCATATAAGGCGTGGGAACGAGTATTGTAGAGACCATATGTTGTCCATGCAGCATGATACCTCCTTTGGCGTTCCTTATTTAATCCAAAAGACACATTTTGAAAAAAAGCATTCTGCAGAAGCTGATGGACAGGAAAAGCAGAGCTCTGTCTGCTTGTCGGAGCTTCCCCCCTAGACCAGCGGCAACAAAGGCTAAGAGCCTGGTCTGCCTTGCTGTAACATTGTTTTCAGGCTGTTACTAGCCTTAAAGTGACCAACTTTTTCTTATTTATTATGTAAAACTGTTCCCCTAACTTTTTGTTGTTATTCTAGGACAAGCTAACCAAGAATCAACACATCCTCTTGTATACATATTTTTGAAAATCTGGGTTACATTCCAACAAACAGAAACAATAGTTCAAATAAAGGACTCAAAACTGGAAGTTAATTTCATGAGCATAGTGCTGACTAGCTGCATATTTTAGAGTTAACAGACTCAGCTCTCACAGTTTCAAGGTCAGTGGATTTCAACTGCAGTGGCCATGAACTGAACTAAATAATAAAATCGATGAACATTTTATACAAGAAATCTATGTCATTAGAGGTTAGGAAAAGAATTCTTGCAATCTATATAGAGCCAGTTTTAACATACAGCTGTGAATCCTGGACAAGTCAAACAATTTCTTGAGGCCTTTGAGATATTATTTTATTGAAGAATCCTTAGAATTCATTGAACAGCCAAACAGAGCAATCCAGATGTTCTGAAAGAGGTGTAGACTTGAAGACAACTTATTACAGATATCAGAAAAGGCCAGTCATCCTATCTGGAAAAGAGGAAAACTGGAACGTGTTGTGACCACTAGAAGATCATGGAAAAAGAGACATGGGAAGACAATACAAGAAGATTCTTGACGGCCTTTTGTCCTGGAAGGGTATCAATACAAGAAGTGATACATGCAGTCGCAGATCGCAAATTGTGAAGAGGCATGATTGCTCACACCAATCTTCACATTACTTGAAGTTGACAGCAGCCAGAAAGAAACTATAAGCTATTCTTAAGAATTACAGGATACAAGGACAACTGCTAGATAACATCATTTCCATCTACCAGACTTTTCAAAGCTCACTGAGAACATAAGGCATTTCTGATATGTTTACAATCAATAATACAGGGTTGAGGCAGGGTTGTGCCCTCTATTATTTAGTACATACATAGAATACTTCTAGAAGCCATCTTTAAAGCAGTCAACCCAGAAAATAAGGCACTTTACTTTCCAAAGGAAGAATTAGATTCACATACAATAAACAAGCTATATTTGCAGACGATCAGTGCCTGTTCTACAGTGAGGGAAGTAGACTACAAATCCATTTGAAGAGGCTGTCCAACATCCAAAAGATATAACATAAAAGTAATTACAACTACACTTGAACTTATGAAGGTCAGTAGAATTTCTATTCTGCTACAAGTAAGGTTAAATTGTACTTGTCGGAAGCAAGTTCAAGAATTCAAATATCTCAAATGTATACTCTCAGAGTACAGGACAAAAGATCAAGAAAAAAAATCAAGATGCTAACAATGCCAATGAGCCGGTGCAGTTATATATTAAATGACGCCATTACTAAGACATCTAAACATAGGTATGACCACCAAGAAACAGACTGCAAACAGCATATGCATACTTACACTGTGATACCAGTACCAAACATTATCAAAGTCTAAGCTATGTAAAATTAACACCTCTGAAATAAGCTGCCTGAGTAAAGCTGCCAGTTTGACGCACAATAAGAAATGATACTATCAGACAAACTGGGAACACTATGCACAAAATAATTAACAAATGGAAGAACAAATGGCTTGGTCATCTCATTAGAATACAGTCACAACAACTACCAAAACATCTACAATACATGAAAAGATCTGATGTGAAAGCAAGACGTTGCCTAGGGCAAGATGGACTGATGACATTAAAGACCTTCTACGTCGACAAGGCAAGATAATAGCCATAGCTACCCATTAGGCAATGAATCGCAAACTGTTCCTGCCCACAGTGCTTAATGGTAAAAGTGGAACATGATGATGAACCAATAAGAAAAGTTTGGTGAAGTATGTCTATGCCATCTCTGAGGTCATGATAAGAGAACTTATAATCAACTTTGAATGGGAACAGTCAGCAGAAGTACTTCAGGATTGCTGCTGCCCTGGTGGAGTGAACACACACTGTTACGCCCAAAATGGCTTGACATCACAACAATATAACATAATACATCTATAAAATTATGTCTGCAGTTTCTACTAATTGGCAGATTATCCATGATGTGTTTTCATACATTAGGTTTGGCACCATACAGCTCATAAGAACTCTCTTGCTCAAATCAACTGACAAATATAGATTAAACAGAATGTTCCTCATGGCACTGACTAAATAAAACAGTGGTTTCACAAAGCAAATTTTACTCCTTACCTGCAAATGGTTCTGCCCACCAGCGTAGATGCATGTGAGAAACAGCAACACAGGCTACATATATAAATGCTGGATCTGAACAAGTAAACAGAATCAGGTAATTGACAATGCAAGATTAGCTAACAATCTGTGATGTAACTGTAACCACACAATTACTTTATGTAGCATTCTGAGACCCCCTCAAGTATGTAACAGCATAACTGTGACTTTACACTTTTATTGCCAACACTTTTTGTTAATGAGTCAGTTTCCATCTGTTCTGTTGGACCTTCTACTGCCTCAGAATGGTGAAGCCTTCATGCATTCTGTCTACAAGCTGTGCACCCCATCTCATCTACCCAGTACAGGCAGATGCATGCTGTTGGACCCTCAAGGAAAGGCAGAGGCATTACTTAGGAATTTCCTCACTATCCATTCATCATAGCTTGCTCCTTTGGAGACCAACAGATTGTACACTTGGGACTTTTATGACCTCTCCCCACAGAGTGGTTTGTCTCTAAGTAAAAGCTAACAGCTCACACAACACAATGTGCTGGGTTTTTCATCCAGAATAAGAATTCAGGTTAGTATCTGCTGCACCAGTGTTCACAAATAGCAGGCTTCAGCATGTAGAGCACCAGTCATGGAAACACATTCTGGGCAGCATATTTTCTGTGCTTCTGTAGAAGGTGGATAACCTCAACTCAAACCAAGCACTACATTACAATAAATATACCCTGTAAATGATCCGAATCTTGGAAAAAATGCCCGAAGAGCAAATTAATTTATGCAGTCATCTTTGCTAAACTGAGCCAACAGGTTGCTGCTCAACAATTACTGCACATAAAGAATCATTGTAATTCTTCAATTCTATGAAACAAAAGAGTGTTTACAGACACGAGGACTGACTTAGTTACACTGTATTTTATCCCATATGGCTTGATCTGTCTTTGCAGTGATCTCCTGGGAGAGTTTACACAAAGCAAAAAGTCACTCCTGCAAGAACCCCCGAATATAACTGTCCAAAACACTTCCATTTGTAAACTGAAGGGTGCAGTAAGAAATTGATAATTAGCTTATTTACCTGACCATGAAGAATAACGTTTGAAAATAAAAGTCAGCTATTTAAATCAAAATAAAAAGAATGCTTGTTGACTCACTTACAGACAAACAGTATGTGTAGGGGCAAGCGTTGGCCAAATAACATAACCATGGACTGGGCATGCCAGAAGTTGTCAATGTCTGGAAGAAAGTAACTCAGAGACTCGACCGTCAGTCCATGACAAATAGTAGCAATCCACAGCCACAGAAACCTGCCTCCACACCGAACAGCTGGTCAATAGAAAAAAAGGTTATGTGCTTATACTCAGTCTTACAAATGAGATAGTACATTTTAATCCACAAATTTCAAGCCCTAAATACTAGTTATTGCAATCAATTTAATCAAATAAAGAATAAACTGAGCTGCATGCATGCATGCACACACACATACATACATAAGTATGTAAAATATTTATACCATTAACATTTTAAACCTGATACCAACTCTATTAATATTTGGGTAAACTAAATAACTAGTCTTATTTATATATCCATAGCACAAAACTGATAAATCATGACTACTTTTTTAACAAAAAACATTCCTATAACATCAAAACAACCTGTTATGGCTTTGCAGGTCCTATCAATTGTAATACTTACATACAGAAAATTAATGAAAACAGAATGTTAATCCACAAACAGGAAAACATGCTTCCACACCAAACACGGGCCAACAGAGTAAAAACAGTGTGTTGACAGAAGTGAAGCATTTCCTGTATGCTAGTGGAATTGTTAGTACCTTCTTAATACATTTAATGGAGTAGACAGAGTCTCCATAAAAGTTGGCAGTACACTATGAAATATTTTTTTTCAATCAGTCACCAAAACCAATGTTTGATGGCACCTACAATATGAAGCTAACATTTTCGAAGTTATCCAGACACTGGCAACCGTCAGTCCCTTGGGACCATGAAGCTGTGCTGCTAGTTTTGGAAACATCATCTGCTATGACTCAAGTCCTATGCAGGAGTGGCAGTCTCTGCCACAAAGACTACATAAAAACGTTGACACTATTATGATGAGGCTGATTATTTTTTCCTCAGCCATCTCCTGTCCATAAGGCCTCTCACAAAGAAGTGATGCTGGAGTGACCTTCTCAGGGCACAGGCCTGGGCATGTTGATAAGTACAGGCGGTTGCCAAGGCAGCAGGTACCGGCTGTCTGTGGAACCAGTAGCACCAAGGAAAAGGCAAATGCCAATACAGCTTGGTACTTATCATGAAATATTCCACAGATAAAAATGCTGGCTTTAATTGTGATACAGTTTAGTGATAGTTCATTTCTAAACCATCTTTAACAGTTAATCAACACAAAAACACATAAGGCATACTGTACCATGGCAAAATGTGAGAAAGCCAATAATGTAGAAAATTATTTCACAATACAGGAATGTTGCATGCTTTCTAAGAATGTCTTCTGGCTGGCGAAATTTTATCCACCACTCAAGCTCCTGAAAGTAAAAATATGTGACGGCATATTTGAGATATCTATCATACACATCTGTCACGAATGAAATCTCTGCATCATCTTGGAAAATGTAACATGAATGATGATTGTTGCAGGGATATCCCCACTTCACTTCTTGTTTCTGTTTTATTATTTAATCTCTTTTCTTTCACTTCTGCACATACACATTTTTAATGGCTTCAAATAGTATACAATGGGGAATATAAGAAAGAAACAAAAACTAAGATAAGAATGCACATATAAAACATGAGATTTTAATCCTCCGATGGGCTGGCATTTTAACACTTGAAAATGGCTCTTAAATTAAAAAAAATGGTACAAGATATTTTTTAACCTTAGATATAGGTGATAGTTCAGAGTAAGATATTGACGCATTTTATGACGAGTTAGACATGGCTGTTGATCAATGCAAAAATTGTGAAGTAACAATGGTACTTGGAGATTTCAACGCGAAAGTAGGAAGTGAAAAAGTGTATGGAATAACGGTTGACTATGGCCTAGGAGAAAAGAATGTGTGAGGTAACACCTGGTTTAAACACCATTCTCGAAGATTGTGGACTTGGAAAAGTCCTGGTGATAATGTCCGCAATCAGATCGATTATATTTTCATTTCAAGAAGATTCAGGAGCAGCTTAGTTGGAGCAAAAACTATTCCTGGAGCAGACTGATTTAGTGACAATGTTCCAGTTGTAGGAAAAATTAGAATAAAACTAAAGAACATTAGAAAAACATGACAGAACATCAAGTTAAATTTAGGAATTCTTAGAACGGATACAGAAATTAAGGACCAGTACAATGTCACTGTACACAACCGGTATGATGCAATGCAAATTATACAGACTATTGATGAACAGTGGGATATGTTGCGTGAGTCAATTCAGCAGACATCTAAAGAGACAATGCCACCAACCCATAGAGTTGCAAAAAAGAAATGGATGTCAACCAAAATTCTGCAGTTGATGGATGAAAGAAGGAAGAAAATGAATGATAAAGAAGAATACTCTAGAATACAAAAAGAAATAGTGAACAAATGCAAAGTGGCTAAAGAAGCCTGGCTGAATCAAATGTGTACAGAGATTGGGGAAAATCACAGGAAAGACTCACATTCCATGTACCAACAGATAAATATGTTAACAGGAAAGATGACACGTAACAGCACTGGATGTTTGAAATCAAAAGATGGTGACTTATTAATGGGACATAGTAATATAATTAACAGATGGACAGAGTATAAAGGGGAATTGTATGATGATAATAGACCAGATGAAGAACTGCAGACCAACAATGATGGTCCACCAATAATGACTGCAGAAGTGGAGGATGCAATACATCATATGAAGAAAGGAAAAGCACCCGGGCCAGACAACATCTCACTGGAAGAAATCGAAGCATTGGGAGATTTTGGAATTGAAATAATAACTAAACTTTTAAATGATATTTATAATAGTGGGGATATTCCAAATGACCTTTTAAAATCCATATTTATAGCTCTGCCGAAGAAACCAGGCACTTTAAAATGTAAAGACCATCGCACAATAAGTCTTATGAGTCACATGACTAAGATTTTACTGAGAATAATTATGAGAAGAATAAGAAACAAAATTAAACCAGAAATCAGTGATGAACAATGTGGATTTGTAGAAGGAAAAGGTACAAACAATGCCATATACTTTCTAAGGACATTGTCAGAAAGAGCTATAAAAGTAAAGACTGATTTGTACATATGCTTCATAGACTATACAAAAGCATTTGACTGTGTGAAGCATGAAGAAGTAATCAAACTGTTAGAAAAATTAAACTTTGATGGGAAAGATCTACGAATAATAAAGAATATGTATTGGCAGCAAACAGCAGCTATAAGAATTAACAACTGTTTAGGTACATTTCAAAGCATAAAGAGGGGAGTACGACAAGGATGTGTACTGTCACCTGATTTGTTTTCAATATACAGTGAATATATAATGAGAGCTTTAATTGGTATGCCCGGAATTGTGGTTGGTGGGCACAATATAAACAATTTACTTTATGCTGATGACACGGTTTGATAGCAACAAGTCAGAAAGAACTACAGGAAATGATAGACATTGTGGTGTTAGAAAGTGGAAGAATGGGCCTCAGTTTGAATAATGGGAAGACAGAAGTAATGGTGGTATCAAAGAAACGAATTATTCCAAGTGTGTAATAAAAGTTGATGGTGTTATTTTAGGACAAGTACAGAAATTTAAGTATCTGGGTACATGGATAACATCAGATGAAAGATGCATAACTGAGATAAGAAACAGAATAGGACAGGCAAAAAGTGCATTTTATAAAATGAAAAACATCTTGTGCAATATATCTTTGTCATTGAGAGTTAGAAAAAGAATTCTTGCTTGCTACATACATCCAGTTTTAACATATGGCTGTGAATCCTGGACAATCGGTAGGCAGGCCAAACAATTTCTGGAGGCCTCGGAGATGTGGTTTTACAGAAGAATGCTTAGAATACCTTGGACAGCCAAAAAGAGCAACCAAGAGGTTTTGAAAGAGGCGGAAGCCCGAAGACAGCTTATCACAGACATCAGGAGACAGTCATCATTTTTCGGCCATGTTATGAGAAGAGGGAAAATAGAACATGTGACCACTGGAAAGATATGTGGAAGGAGAGACAGAGGAAGATAACGAGAGAAGATGCTTGACAGTCTTGTTGCATGGCATGGAGGTGTTTCGGCACACGAACTGATTCATGTTGCAGGAGATCGCAGATTATGGAGAGGCATGATCGCCCACGCCAGTCGGCAAGGCACCTGATGATGATGATGATGATAGGTAATGTTGATAGGTTATCATATGACTTTTAGAAATTCATGATATGTGAAACCATAATTTACACTGTGGGTAAATATATCTAGTGAGGTTCAAAATATGAGCTTATGACAAACGGATCAATGAGATGTACCTCTGTAGACAGTACTCAGCCTAAAAAGCTTAAGAGGTTTACAAACCATTTATTGAACCAACAATTTTAAGAGGGGAAAAACTATCAAGAAAAGGTATAAATCATTTTGCAAGAGAAACTTTGACACAACATACAAATATTAACATTATTAATCTTTACATACTCAGAAAACAGTATCCCTCCAATATGTGAACATGCATGTTTATGGACGCTTTTGATAAAAAAAGCCTGCCCCTAAAAACGAAGTGGTCGAATCTACATTACACGCACTTATTGCAACACAGAGACATGCCTAATATAGGCATGGGAAGCTTGTATCAATTTCAGAGCAGCAATCCTCCTTTGACCGGAGAAGACTTCCAATACTCCAGTTAAACTAAATAAAAAGCTGTCATATGCACCTATGTAAAATCAGTCCTCCAAACCGTCTCACGCTTTAAACAAGACAGCAAACCTAAATGCTGTCCACAAGAACAGAACCAGTCTAGCAGTTAGTTTTGCACTACTATGGAACGTTAGAAATGGAAAGGCAGAGCTTGCTAAGGCTACAAGAACCTCATGCAGCCTCACTTGTCTCAAAGCTTTAAAATACCAAAACAAAATATGAAGTTGAAGTGGACAGAAGACTAAAAAAATTACAGACCAGGGCATGATGTCATGCAAGGAAAGAAAAATGACATAAAATTGCCATTATATCATTCTGTTTGTTCGATTACAAAAAGCATATTTCAATGCAAGGAATAGACTCGAGGACTTGATGACGACTGGCAGTTTTGGAAGAAAGAGGGCAGGGAGAAAGCAAATAGATAAATAACAAATAGTTTGGCCACCTGCATGGGGAAGTACAGGAACACCATCCGATCTAAGATTCTGCTGATCATGTAGGGTGGTGAAAGATGATGTCTATGATTTTCAGCATGATACATGATATTTCCAGGAAGAGGGGGGCGCTGGAGGAGTTTTTCACACACAAAAAAAGGGTGGTGGACCAAAAAAGTTTAGGAAACACATGTGTACACACATATGTGGCTAGCACATTATAACCATTGCACTTCAACCTACGTAAAACAGAATATAAAATTTACATTTAAAAAAACTGTCATAGGTCACATACTGCAACAACAATACAAGAGAGCCAGGGACAAAAATGTTCATAGCAAACAATCATTCAACTGTTACTTGTTATAAATTCTGACAAGACATCCAAGGACATCATATGACCATTCAGCTCTGTCCTCTGATGCAGCAGCCATCTCAATGTCTCTATTTTCATCATACCCATTACGAGCTGACTGGCATCCATATTGACAACCTAGCACATCTGTCGAACCCATTTGAACTCTGCCCTACAATGCAGCAGCCAACTTAGTCTCTCCATACTAAACGTACCCAGTAGGAGTTAACTGCCGTCCACAATGACATCCTAGCATATTTGTCGAACCCATTTGTACGCCCTCTAATGCAGCAGTCAACTTTGTGTCTCCATACGAAATTTAATTTATCCAGGAAGAGTTAAGTGGCACATAAACAGTTATTTAGTACCAAGCAACTCACCCGCTGACTGGTAACTTTATGTGTGTTGCTTTTCCAATCCTTGTGTCCAATGTAGTTGTTTAAAGTAATCCAATAACAAAAGTGTATTTTCACTCTTTCTGTCCAACATGGTCCTTACCGAAACTTTTTTTTAATGTTTCAAGCATAGGCGCCAGAATCTGGCGGCACAGGCGCTTTCACTTTGAGCCAGGTAAACATTTTGGGAGAACTAATCTGACCACTTCCACCCTCAATTTGCCCCTAGAAATTCTGTAAGGAGATCAAGAGGCTCCCATTTAACAATGCACAGAACTTCTGTTTAAAATCGTATATTTCATTTTATTTTAAGTAATTATGTTTTCATGGCATTCAGCACATGAATAATAAAGTGTTAAATGGTCATTAAATATATGAGACATATGGTGCACATCAACTGTGTCAACATGCGATGCTGCTCCATAGATATTTTAAAATATTTCCACCCAAACTTTCCACTCTTCTCTCATATGGCCTTAATTCCCCACCTTTTTTTCTACTCCTCTTCTCTGTATCTCATCTCTTTTCACTAATGTCCCCTTGAAAGAAAATACTGAAATCATCCGGGACAGTATAATGGAGAAGAATCTATAAAGTTGCCTGCCTCAAAACTGGAGACACTGTTGTTATTGTGCACATCTGTTGTAAAGTGATCAAACCCACCCCTACACATTAGACCATTCATGACATTAATGTCCCTAGCGGGCAGGTCACATTACGTCTATTTATACCTTTATCTGGCGAAATAGGTATTTCTATATGTTCTAGATCTCTTGTGAAGTCTATATTTTCAAACTTACAGTTGTGGGGTAGAAAGTCTCTTTATTAATATTCATAATCTGAGATGCCTACTCACTGCTCGGCGTATTGATCTGGGAGCTTCTTTCTTCGAAAGTGACGCTAAGTCTGCCTCGTTTCATTCTCTGCGAGACTTCCAAGTGATCAGAAGGGTTTCACCTTTGTGCTTAAATTTTGTCTTGAACAAAGTACCAGTTTAACCCTTTTAGCATGGGAAGTTTTTCCGATGTCTAGCCAAAAACACGGAGCATTTTTTCAGTAAATTTGATTATTACTTTATTTAATTTTTTTGACACATTTCTGTTATTCTGACCCCCATGAAATAACTTATCTATTTGAAGGATATAGATTGAAGTTCATGATTTTTACAATATCAATAAAATTAATTGATGTATATGCAAATTATCTCATTTGCATATCTAAAAATAGAAAATTAGAATGTGAATTTTCAACTTCAATGCATGAAACATATAACTAAAAACAAAAAATTTATTTTATTTGAAATCTTTTTATTGATCTTTGGCCTTTTTACAAATGTTGTAAGCAATTCAAAAACAGATATGTATATATATGAAACAGCAATAATATCTTTAGGTGACATGTGTTTTTGACCATCAGTCAGCACTAGAAATGGATGTGCCGGAGTGTCAACACCTTCGGGTGGATATACCCTGAGCCATGGTTGGGCTGTCGTCTGAACATAACAGCGTCCCCATCTGATTCCCCACTATTACTACTAACACTAGATCCTGCATTAGTATCAACAGAATTAGTGTCATCACTTGATTAAAATGTTTTATCAACATCAAGTTTAGGGGCAAAAACATACGAGTCAGACATACTTTTAGCGGTTCAGGTCACTATCTGAAAAATTCAACAACAATTTTCACTTCGATACCAAACACTAGAAAGTTGCTATGTGTAAAGCTAATACAGCAGTGAATATGAATGAATCACTTTCAGTGTTTCAAAATAGGAGATTTCTTAGCGGTTCGATGCGAAACAGACTCGGGCCGATGATCGGCCGTTCCGTGTTTTTGGTCAGACATCCGCCGGCCGATAATCGGCCCGTCCGTGCTAAGAGGGTTAATCTTTGGAGGAATCCTGAGCTTGGGATGATATCACTGTTCAAAACTGTCTAGAGTATATGTATGTTTAACCATTAATCTTAATCTGTGTTAACATGGCTGTGATAGTACCCTATCATAGCTTGGGTGCTATTTTCTTGTAGTAGTGGGGGCGTCCAGCCAAGCTGCGCCTAGGAATATTAGATATTCTGTAGTGCCATAGTTTTAGTTGCCCTACTCCTGAAATAGGTTGGGTGTATATTGGCCACGGGATAACCTTTAGACCAATACGACCTGACACCTCAACATTATACTATTTCAGAGTGCTGTTGGTTCTTAAGGAGAAATCCTTAAACAGGCACGCAACACGAGCGGTATGGGACAACATCTAACACCAAGTTCAATTTCCTCAAGCAGTCCTACCGCCAGACTGACGGAGTGGCCATGGGAAACCTGCTGTATTCTATCATGGCAGACATATTTATGGCACATTTGGAAGAAAAAGATATCTGGACATTGATAACTTGGTGTGTTACAAATGTTATGTAGATGATATTCTTATTGTTGCCGCTGATAAACAACAAGCAGAAATACTACACACGCAGATGAACCGGGCACACAAAAACATCTCACTGTCCCTACAACATGAATGTAACAACACAATTGCCTTTTTAGACGTCCTGATCAGACGGAGGGAAGATGGCACCATCAAACGATCAGTATATAGGAAAGATACTTGGACGGGCCAGTACATGAACTTTAATAGTTTTGCACCCATCCAGTACAAATGTGGCATAGTATGAACATTTTTCAACCGCGCTTTAAAGATTTGCTCCAGTGATACACTACAGTCTGAACTAGAAACCCTAAAACAAATGTTTTTTATTGAACAGATACCCAGCTGGATTTATTAAGCGCCACTGCCACCCTCCTCAACCAACTACTAGAGAAATGTCAGTCCCCAAACAAGTCTACATCCATCTAGCCTATTGAGGGGATGACGTTATGAAACGGCTATACAACCGACTTAAAACAGCAGTCAACCAAACTTTCTATGCTGCTTTGCCAATTATCAGGTTTAAAACTACCCCTGTGCCAACGCCCTCGGTGAAACAACCAGTGTCGACGTATGCCAAATCAACTTGTACGTACCAATTTAAATGTAGCTGTGAATCTGCTTATGCGGGCAGAACTGATTTACCCCTAGAGAAATGAATCGCTGAGCACATTCCAGTACAGGTGAAAAAAAAAAAGCAAAATAATATTCAAAATGAGAATACTGGCCGCAAAGATCACCCCTCTGCAACAGCATGCAATCTTCTTAAATCTGGACACGTGGTAATTAAGGACAACGCATTTCAAATCCTTCATACTCAACCAATGGCAGACTCCTAAGATTTCTCTGCTCTACTTGGAATAACGGTTCTAAATGAACTACGCAGAAAGTTTACCCAAACAGAGCCTCACAACGCAGACAGTTAACCCGAACAGAGCCTCACACATATGTAAAAGTCGCATTTCTTTTGCGGCGATTCAACCGTGTCAAAAGTAGTATTAACTGTGCACGACATTTTCGCGAAACGCAACGGATTTTTAACGGCGATTAGATGGCGGCAAAACAAGGATTAACTGCATACGAAAAAAATTACCGACACGCGACAATACTCCCGATAGCGCTATCCTACGGCAGGGCCCGAGTTATATGTAAGTTGCCGATCGCTTTTCGCCGACTATAGTGCCACCTCCAAGAGTATCCATCTAGTTTAGCCCCAATCCACGCCAGGCGTTGCGGCGAGAGGAGATCTCGGCGGTGGCGGTAGTCGCCAGAAGTGGGGAATTTAAGTTGCCGTAAGTCCGCAATTTACATCTGTTAGGGTATATTTTCGGCCTCGGTAATTTGGGACTGTTATTCACAAGATAGCCTGAAATTGTACTTCAGTTATAAAGGATTCACTTATTTGCTTCATTTATGTTATATAATTGTTACTGTGGTATGCACCTGACGAGATGCAGCGAAATATGCCAGGCAATAAATTGTGCAATATATATATTGTTTGTCTTCTCTGTTCAAATTTACAATGGGGACAAATTATAAATAATATAATCGCAGTTGATTATAATAATATAAAATAATTGTATATATTAATTAGATGTTATTACAAACTATGGAATTATAATAAATAAACCTAATTTTTTATAAAAACTATATTATATCATATCTATAATTTTAAAATGACATTCAATTTGAATGTTGCACCCTCTCTAATCTAAATTTAGTAAATGAAAGTAAATGTGTTTCGTTTTCTTTTACCTTTCTGTCTTTTGGGAGCCATTGTTTTACAGAAGATATTGCGTGTTCTATGTAGTGTTGGACTTTAGAAAGATCAAAATTCATGTTGAGCATTACAGTACGTCGAACACTTGCTCCTGCTGCTGTTGTGTAAAATAGAATATCAACAGCAGTGTTGCCACTTTTCTTTGACAAAAAATATCCAAAACGGTGTCAAAAAATATCTAAAAAGATCTAAATCTGCGTGGAAAAGATCTAGAAAAAACATCCAAATTGAAAAAGTCAAAAATTACATAGCTTTCTATAGTGCAAGTGAGCAAATCAGCTTTAGAAGTTGGCAACACCAGTCTTTTACCGAGTGAAATAGCAAGGTGAGATCATAAAGTAATTTATAACTTTATCAACAAGTTTAGATTCGAACAGTTTATTAACTTTTTGCACTTCCATTAGAATTGGTTATAAAAAGAGAATGAATGACAAATTTTTTTCATCACTGTACATTCCATATAGTATTTCAGCAGTGTAGCACTTTTCACTTTGTCTTGTTATATAAAAGTGTGTCTTCAACTTCAGCCATTGCTTCATAATTCTTTCAACAGCTGGTTAAATTGATAACCATCTAGTTTTGCAATCTGACAGAATTTTCGGTGGTGTGGAACCATCATTCAAGGCTGTATATAATGTATTGTATTGCTGTTGTCTGACAAATGATTTGGAAAACCAGTAAAGTGTTTCAGCAATAAGGTATTCCAAATTTTTTGGTAAATATTTAGATGAAGCATGTGATAATGCTAGCTGCAATGAATAACGCATACATTTTATAAGTATTAACGATGAGTTAGCTTCCTTCAATTTGGCATAAACGCCATTGTTTATAATTTATACCAACCATTTCTGAGGCATTATCAATACCAATTACAGCCAAATTCTTCAAGCCTAACTGTTTGCTGATTAAAAGGCCCTTCAGTTCCTAAACTATACTTTCTACATCACACTTTTCAAATCGAACTAGTCCAAGATTTTTTACAAATCGATCAAATGGTCACAGTTTGAAATTGCGCAGTGACAAATTAAAAACATTGCGACTGATACTTCAACTTTTGATGATTCATTTATCAGTATAGTTCTGAAAACAGATGTCAGCGGTGTAATATATTTAAATGAAACTGCAGTTTTATGCTTTTTTAGTCTCTGCATGACTCTTTGAGTTTTGTATTTTCGCTTTAATTTCATACTTGCAGTACTTACAACAAGTACAAGCTTTGGTCATATCCCCAGTTTTTAATTTTGTCATCATGCAACCACTCTTTCCAACTTTTTTGCACATACTTTACTTTTGGCATGTTGAAAGGTTTTTTCAAAGTATTTTTTTTAAATCACATGAAAAAGAAACGCAAAGTCAGCACAGTGAGGATACGGTTGAAACAAAGTTAGTATGATTTACGCGCGTTTTTATTAATCAGTACCGGGGCTGCCAGATGACCCCAGTGAGAGTTCAAAGTTCAAGTAATGGCAGTTGTCACAATGTACGTGCCAGACCAAAACAAAAATATTGTTATAAATATTTTACACAGTAATTATTAAATTGACAATGAAAGAAAAAAAATCTATAAAATATCTAACTCCACATGAAAAAAAACTAGAAAAATATTTACGATCTAAACGTCAAAAACAGTATCTAAATGCTATGAAAAAGATCTAAATTTGGATATAAAAGATCCAAAGTGGCAACACTGGTAGCGACTCCTCGGCCGGCGTCTGCTTCTCGTATTCGTATCGCAACACACTACTCGATTATCAGCTTTCCAGATTACCATGAATACGAGTACTGGGTTTCCTCGCAGAAGTTAGTTTGTTAGTTTGTATGTTTGTTAGTTAGTTAGTTGGGTTATCATCAAGCACTCCGAACCCTCGAAGAAGAACAATCAGCCGAACAATCTTACCTGCAGATAAGCAAGGCTCGCTAGCTCAGTTGGTCCGAGTTCGAGCCCATGGTAGGCAGAAAAGCCACATTTCTTCCAGATTTATGGTATCTATCGTGGAATCAAGGCCGAAAGGTTGCCATATCCATAGTACCGAGCCAAAGGAAACTAACTACTCATGGTTTCTGGATATTTAAATAATAACTATTTTTAAAAAACTGCAAATAACCTCTAGCATGAAATTTCTGAAATCTCGTAATATCTAAGCAATACCCAGGTTACCCGAAAACTCCGGAATCCCCTTTCTCTGAGATGAATTAGAAAAAAACTCATTTCTAGTTAAATCAACCAGCCGGATTCAAACCAAAGACCTTCAGGCCGACAAATACAGGAACGAATCAAGAAGTGACATCACTGCTCTAGGGTGGGCTTTGTCCCCTTCTTCGGTAGCTAACGAAAAGTCGATCTAATAATAGTACCAGTTGCAGCCTGAGGAAAAGTATCCCCCCCCCCCTCTCCCACCCCATCGCACACCCGGGACAATACCTGGTGGTTATTATCAATTTAGAATGTTTACAGTTGATCGAAATTGTCCAAAACTACGGTCCTGTCAGTCCGAAACAAATATTATAGAAGCAATCGAGATTTATTCAGATTTTAACTCTCTAAAAAATGTTAACACCGTCTTGTCGTCAAGTACCGGCACCCTTTTGATGCATGCTCTTTTTTTCAGCGCTACTGTAATAGGGACTTTGTGTTGAACACTGGCAGGGCCGTCTTACAGCATAGTTGGCTGTGGTTCTATAAAATGTTTATTTTCAATTTTCAGTAAATGGGCGTTCGCTTTCTCAATGGTTTCTTTGTGTCGGCGTCTATACCTGCTTGAGCTGGCCATGCGTTTTATTTCTGTGTTTAGCTTTGAACACAAGACCCCGGCTTTGAGTGTGTGTGTGTGTGTGTGCGCGCGCGCGCGTGCGCGCGTACCAGCGCGTGTGTGTGTTTAATGACAAAAGTTTTCAAAGAAAGTTAAAAGTAAAAATAAATATGTGAGACAAAATATAAACATTTGCGGGACATCAGAAGCCTTTCTTGGCAGCGGTGAAACGTCACAAGCTAGCTTGGTTTGGGCAAGTGGGGCCGCTTTGCGCATTTGACAGGAGACGGTTTCAAATCCAGCTGCGACTCACTGCAGGCCCACGGCTGGTATTCGAAACCGGGCGGTCCCCGGGGTTCACCCAGTCTCTAGAGTTAATACTCTGAGGTAAATGGGGGAATGTCGCTGTAACTACGGAGTTGCGTGCGGATGGCGACACAGGCGGACATCTTCTTATCAGCTCTCCGTACTGGTTGCATAGCACTTATGGTGTACGACCGTGTACAATGACGCTGGTTCACATCTCTTGACTTTACTTTGAGATACGATTCTACTGTAAAGACTGTACTTCAAGGAACACTCTGGGTAGTCGGAGAAGAGGAGAGCAAAGAAGAACCTGGAATGACAACATAAAGAAATGGTCAGGAATAAGTCAGGACTAAGTTATCATAGCCTTATTCATCAAGCAGAGGACAGAGAAAGTTGGTTGGTTTTATCACGACCTACTCTATTTACTATTTAATTATTTATTAGAGAAGGCATTGGTTTTATGTGCTAGTGCTTCCTTGAATGCACCTCCACGACCGTAATGGGTCAAGGGTTATGTTATGTTAAAGGTGAAAACGAGGTTATCCAGTTTAGAGAAAGGTTCTCTCAGAAATAATGCAGTTTGTTATCATATTGGTATTTAGACGGTTAAAACCTATGCCTACGGGTGTTATACTCTTACATTATATGTTTAAAAGCAGAAGGTTGTGTATGCGTGCATGGGAAAACGGATACAAATAAATGATAAGGGGAGAAAATACTTTTAGTGTCTGCTACTCTTTTTCACTGCAAGATGAATGCCCGAGAGCTTCTATTATCAGGAGATAGAAGAAGCTCGCAGAACAACTGAATGCTTAGAAACAGAGAAGTAGGGACAAAGCAAGGGCGCAAACCATGCGTATTTGAAGTGGTGACGTAGACCACGGCCGGGTTCTAGCCGAAATAGCTGAAGTCGGACACCTTCTGGTGTCAACAATGAAGCCACAGTAAACGAACACTTGATCCACGCAGCGAGCGAAGCCAGTCTTGTGTGAACACCAGACAGCAGCTGCTGTCACAAACATGTTAGGAGTAGAAAGTCTCGAGTTTACTAAACATTTTCCGCGAGAAAATGTCTGTGATAGACAATGGGTAGTCTTCTTGTTCTTCGCGTTCACCGGCTTTAAACTCTGGCGGAAAGTTCTGTTTGTTCGTCCACTTCTAAACTCTAGTCATATTCCAGAAACTCAGGGTTGCGTGCACATCCGTTTCACATATGTGACTCATCTGCATTCATACTGTTGGTCCGTTGCATCTCATGCAGATGTACTGCGACTTTGAAGGAAGCTCCCATTTAGTCGACTCTTACTCTTACGATATGATTTTGGGCAGGCAGTGGGTCTGTTCTTGTTTTCCTCACAATGGGAACCCGGAACCCATACAGGGAGCACAAAGGGTAGTTACAGCTGCATGAAGTATGAAAAACCTAAACATCAGTTATCCCACACAGGATACTAGTTACACTACTGTATGAAGCCGGTTACATGAACCATACTTATAACTTCCTTAAAGGTTGAATGGGGTTGTGGGTTTTTCCCCTGTTGCACTGCCAATCAGGATATGAATCTTGAAGCCATAGGAGGATTAAATAATCAGCTAATAGCCCAGCGTGTGAAAACAGGCAGCTTATATGGGAAAACATATGACACTACAGTAATGGTATTAATTATGAATAATTTATGCAAACATCCACAGCTGTGATATCCGAGAATAAGGTCGCTGCATCTGAGAAAAGCAGAGTCATCGTAGTATGTAACAAATACTAATGGTAAGGCGCTATAGCAGAATAAATCAGAATAAGTGATAGAATTTAGAGACATATCATGTTAAAGCATTAGGCTTATCAGAATTGAGAGTTAAAAGACGAGGAATGAAGAAACTTCATAAAAATTACGTTTTGATTCAATCGGGGGTAGAGGAAATGCAACGTGCAAATCATGGAGTAGGATTTATCATCGATCCCGAAACTGCTACAACTATACTCGAGGTTAACTACATTTCGG